TTTTGTTTTGGGGTTTTAATAATTAGATCGCCAGTGGCTGATCTAAGGGCTCTGGGAGGATGGTATAATTCCAGGAATTCTTTTAGATAAATAAAGTAGCATCATTTATACATTTAAAACAGAAAAAGCCAGTTTTGTATTTGATCCTTTCTTTTACTGGCAGCCAGTGTAGTTCTTTCAGGGTTGGTCTAGGCTTATACCTAGAAGTAGGCCTAATAGACATGTACAATGAAGATCGGACATGGGAAGGTCGGACAGTGTATGTGTTCTAGCCAAGTCGTTCAGAGTAAAAGAACATACGTATTGCTTGTAGCCTATAGAGACGTTTAGGTTCTAGCCTATACTCAACTAGAGGTAACAAACAGACATATCTAGATCGGACATGGGAAGGTGGGACGACAGTGCATGTGTTTTATATAGCGTAATAACTCACCTAGTGCCGTGTGGTAACAGACAGGACGTGGCAATAGAAAGACATCTAGATAGGACGTGGGAAGGGGCGTCCAAAGTCAATGGCCGGACTAAGACATTTCCTAGGCGAGATTGCTCGAGAATAAGCTGGCCTCGCCCATTCCGAAGCCCGTTTATTAGGCCCTATCTTACGGGCCAACATAGGAGACAGTTGGGTAAAATCGGCTGAAATACCCGAGCTGTTAACATTGGGACTACAACTGACTGACCGTGTGGCTTAATGTGTCCTTCAGGGGCATTTAATGATTGATTGTTAAGACGGACATTTCAAAAACGCTATTATTCATTTATTAATTAGACCTAATTAATTAAAAACTAATTATAATTTACCGCGGACCACAATCATCAATGTATAGATGACTGGGTGGACTCGTGATGTATGATGTGTGTAATTGTGTGATGTATGATGTATTATGTTATGTTGTATGATGTATGATGTATGGTGTATGACGCATGTTGTATATGTATGGTGTATGTTGTATGATGTGTGATGTACTGTACTGTATTGTATATGTATGGTGATTGATGTATGTTGTAGATAGGTATGGTGTATGATGTATGTTGTATGTATGATGTATAGTGTATGTTGCATGTTGTATGATGTATGATTATGATGTATGATGTTGTTATTTTTGAAGGACATAGAGTTGGCTTTAGATGTAACGTTTTAAAAAAAAAAAGAAAACATAATTTTATATTTAATCTTTAATGTTTATTTTTAAAGAGTACAGTCTACTTATTGCGGTATGATTTGACTTTGATTGTGAAAATTTTTTTTTTTGGGGTGGGGGGTGAGAGTAGGACTAAACCCTTGAATAAAGAGAGAAAAGGTGAGGGGGGGGGGGATAATAGTAGTACGTGTACTCCGTTGTATGTTGATATTAGTTTATGTGTCACGACGCGGTGGAATCAGGCGCTCGTCAATTTTTGGGCTTATAGAATTATAGGTATTATCAGAAAGCATTTTTATTTGCTTCGTTTCAATGAAAAAAATATCAATCTATCTTGAATAGAACTCAAGACATTTGCGATTGAAGGAAATAAGGTCGCCTAGTTTCAGTGTGGAAATTAGCGAGAAAATGGCCGCCAAAGTTTGTTAAATCCAATCGCTAAAGAGTCTTTGAAAACTGAAAAATGACATATTACTTTAAACAGTGATTTCAAATTGTGTTTGTTTACTTATATGAATAATACATATATGTGACGATTACTGGACATTTTCTTAATGGGGAGTAATGAGAAAATGTAAGCTTTGGAAAGGTGGGAGTGAAAAAGGAAAAGAGAGAGAGAGAGAGAGAGAGAGAGAGAGAGAG